GAACAAGAACGCTACTAGGGGCTCCTGGCATCGCTACTAGGAGCAAGGACGCTACTAGGAGCTCCTGGCCTTTCTTGCCAGCCAAGTGGCCAAAGAGATCACTGAAACTGCAATGCTGTATGTTCCTTCCCGTTCCTCAAAAGGAACCGATGCTTCAAAAACCACCATAGTGGTAGGTTGAGAACGAAAGCAATTGTCTAATGTTGACTCTGTCCATCTGTCTTTGGTCTGGCTCTATCACCCTCGCTCACCTGACTAAGTCTCACTAAGTGCCCAAGAACTTTGGGAGCTCTCAGTGTGACGTTTCTGTGGACAGCCCCCAAAAAGTGGACGAACTGATGCTGAGGGCAGGGCAAATGTTGACCAACAAAACCAACATCGCCACTGTGCGGCAGAGCAACCTACTAGCGATGGCCTCCAACCTAGAAGCCTTTGTTCCTACTAGCTTCTTGCTCCTGGTAGTAAGGCCAGGAGCACCTAGTAGCGTCCTTGTTCCTAGTAGCGATGCCCTTTGCTCCGTAGCTTCTTGTTACTAGTAGTAATGGCCTCCAACCTAATAGCGATGGCCTCCAACCTAGTAGCTTCTTGCTACTAATAAAATTCCAAACGTCAAAGCAGCTGTGAGCTCTGCAAGATTGCAGTGACATGGCCAAACAAAGGCGATTCCCCAGATCATCATGCGTGGCAAGGATTAACAGAAAAGGAACGTGCACAACCTAATTTATCATGAGATATTCACATTTCATTATATCAAATTGTAATAATATATTAAGCAACGAATGGGTACTTGCAAATGAGAAAGCAACTCAGGTGAAACCAATGGCATAGCTCAGTGTGCAGCGCAACTGCGAAGACTTCACTGCAAGCCACAAAAATCACAGCTCCCATGCCACAAACTCTTCCAGCAGCACAACGAAGCAATGCGCACCGTGAGGTAATTATTCCAGCAATCTAGGTGTTTTTCATGTTTTTTCGTGCTTAAGGAAAGTGGTTCAACTCCTGCTCCAGATCCTCCTGCTCGGAACTGCTTGCTGTTGTTCCTCCTTGTCGCTGCTAATGCTCGCCATGTCAGGCCTGTACTTTCATAGACCAGCTGGATTGCCCAAAGTATAACCTAGTACCTAGTAGCCTACAACCTACTCATTGCTCACTTCTTGTCATTGCCACATTGCTATCAAGCATAGTATGGCCAACAACTGACCAATTGTTCTTCCATTTGGCATTGGCCGACCGACAAACTGGGGGCATAGTGACAGTCGGTCTACGTCTTGGCTCTGACTTCCGGAACTTCCTCCAGTCGAGCGAGGCCACATTGTCCGCATGTTGGCTTGCCAACCTGCTAGTAATGTCCGGATTGTTCCTCTTAGTGCCCTCAGTTTGGGTTCAGCTTTGGCTGATGTTTGTATTGGCTGGCGCTTGCGCGGCCTTGCACCTCAGAAAGTACTTAACCTGACAAAACTCTACGACAGGCCCTGAGCTTAGCCTTTCAATGCGGGCACGATTTGAATGGTCGGTGGCATCTTCGTCATCGCCGTGGTCGAGAATTGACTTGGCACCGACATGCACTCCAACAAAGAGATAGAAGCAATTTGAGAATGCGTTCAAGACTGCTGGGTTCATTGACGCGTGCCAAGCGGCCACCGCTGCAGCTACATCTCTATATAACAAGTAATCTCCCTTCCAGAAGGGTAACATATTCCATATGTATAGACCATCTCCAAGCCACACGCTTACCATACCGCCTACTGGGAGCATGACAAGTGGACTGCATAACCTTTGGTGGTTGCATATGCTGCAGGTATGCAAGGTTCCATCAACTTCCTCAAACGCTCCGACTTAACAACAGGTCTAGCACCCCTGTAGCGCAGACAGGGTGCAATCTCTGCACTTCAGCTTTTGCCACGTGGCGGCGCCAACTAAGAGAGAGAGAGAGAGAGAAAGAAAGAGAGCATGCTGGGAAGCTGCAAATGGAGGGGGGTACTGGCGAAGTGGAAAGGGACTACAACAAAGTCCTCTCAGAAGTTACTCAGGTTCATTTGGCAAAATACTTACAATGGCCGCCCTGATCAATTCCAGTCGTCCACACCCGCTGTCAACTGCATGAGGTTGAAGAAAAGAAAGAGAATGCAGAGGAGGAGACGACCATCGAACATGACCCTATCGTAGAAGCTGAAGTGGATGAGCCACGGCAGGTTTTAAAAAGAGGTGCACGGCTAACAGTTTCGCCCAAAGGGTGGCCAAAGTGGTGGATGAAAAAAACAATGGGTGGAAGCTGTGCAAATGCGAAACTCCTTCCGCGCGCATATGTTCCAAATGGATTGCCCCTTATGGAGGTTGCCTTTTCAGTTCGCCTTCTAAAGAGCATGGCTTCACTGGCTAGGAACACTGTACCGAAGCTTGGTCGGTGGTGACAATGCTACATGCTGCAGTGCACCGCATGCCGAAACAACCAGGGTTTGAAAACTCTAGCTTTAGTGAACCTTTCTTATATATATGTATGTATATACACAGTACACGTAAAATCTCCAAGAGGTGCTTCAAAGGTTCGTTGGTCGCTTCAATGTTTGTTCCACCAATGCCAAGCTGTGAGAAGGACCATCTCCTGAGAGTTGGTGGGGATTTGTGTGCACATGTGTGTCTCATCATGCTCACAAGTAACGAACAGGCCCAGGTTCAAACTGGCTGTGTACTGCTTGTAGAAGGTTTCCTGAGTGAAGCGCAAGAATCTTGACAGGTGCATTTGACCGGACAGAACTTGCTGTACAAGAAGCTCTGACAAAGAGGCAAGCGGAAGTGCACAGGTAGCAAACAAACACACTGGAGGGGTTTGGAGTGTCCAAAAACTGCTTAGGGATGAGCTCCCTCAAGACCTCCAAGTGCTGGTCTCAAAACAGTTCCCCTGCCATCCTATGCCCAAAAAGTGGACACCTGGAAGCCCACCGTTTGCAGAAGTGGTAGGCTTCCACCATTGGTGAAGTTGCATGTTGTCACAAGTGGTGAAGTGGCATGCCTTCAGCAGTGCCTTCAGCCATGGTGATGTGACACGTTCCGAGAGCTCGCAACTTGGTCTGTTTCTGCATCTCGCTGGAGAAAATGTATGCATTTTCCCTGGTGGGCAGGTGATGGTTGTTGTGGAATGGTGGCACTCACGACGTCGTTGGGAGCTTCTTGTTCTTACGGCGTGTCGTGCTGCTGCCGAAGTGGTGCTTCTTCGCTAGCTGCGTCGGTAAGTGCTGGTGAAGAGCACCAATATGTAAGTATTGCGTACGTTTACGCTACTGGTGGACTGCACTGCTACTTTTTGAGAGTGGCAACTGCTCACCTCCTTGCTGCGGGGCACCAATTCACATGCTATGCAGTCGCATGATGCTCGACTTGGGGATTGGGGGGGCCTCTATTGATCAACACTTGAGTTTGAGCTTGCCAGCTGCTCTCTGCCTGCTTAGATTAACAACAAAGTAGTTAGCATTTAGAATCCGCTTTTTGCAATCCCCAATCCATCCCTATTTAGCTCAGACACCTCCTTGAGATTGTTCTCTTGCAGCCATGATCTGCCATTGGCCGAATCATAGTAGCCAACCCCAAACCAACCGCAAGCAAGAACGTGCTCGAGGAGCATCATGCCGGTCATAATGATCACCAAACTGAATTGAATAGACGCCACCTGGGTTTCAGGCTTCAAACACCGTGCTGCTTCCCAATTTCAACCAATACTTACTGTATACAAGTATAAAAAGATTATATATATATAACAACAAGAATGAAGTGGCGGAAGCTATCAATTGTCTCAATCATAACAAACGCAATGCTGTGATTTCGGCGCCTTAGTCAAAAGCAACACGACTTTTCGCACCTGAGTCTCGCAGGTGTCTCGAAGGAACACAGCGAAGCGAGTTAGCTTGCCCAATCGCACCACACGAAAGAGCCTCACACGGAAGGGAATTTGGGATGGTTTGGTACGCTGAATCTTGGAAACCCGCTGCGGGTGAGTAATTATGAGGTGCACCCCCCCCCACACAAAATCTATCAGAGCCAAACTGCGTTGCAATGTTTTGCATGTTTTTTGGAAGCCCCGACTGCAGTCCAGCTTTTGTGTAGTCCGACTGTCCCTGCCGCGTGCCTCAGAAGCCTCAAAATCCGTGTGCTGGCACGATCTGTGTCGCCACCATTGGAGAACCTCGGATACATTCAATCTGTCTGCTCGCGGGGCACGGGGCCCGTTGGTGTGCAACAAGGTGTGCACGGACATGTTGAATGGTTACCTCATCAGTTTCTGCCAGGTCTGTCACATTCTGTCATTGCCTGGGCAAACTAGCACGCGAGCGGGTATGAAAAGCTCTTCAAACCTGCCCTTTCAGCACAAGGGGAGTTGGGGACACGTGTCCATGGTTTATTGCAAGCAGGATCAAGGAGGTGGAGATTAACGCAACGTTTTTGCTAGTAGCGCCCTTGCTCCTAGTAGCGATGCCCTTTGTTACTAGTAGCTTCTTGTACCTGGTGGGTATGGCCCCTAGTAGCTTCTTGTTACTAGAAAGGTGTGCGGACATCAGGGAAATTCGTTTTCGCGAACCTGCACTTCACTCGATTGATCTGAGCAGATCTGAAGCAACTCCGAGAGTCTATGCCGCACGCTATGGCAAGCTTGATCTTTTGAGCTTGCTTCGTGAATTCCCCTTAACAGTAGCCAGCCTCTGGCCGAGCTTGGTTTGTCTGAATTTTGTGTTGATGTGTTCAAAGCTATTTTTGGGCATGTCTCTGCTGGTTCTCGGGCTTTTACAGGCTGAACATAAAAAATGCAGGGATTAGGGCAACTAATAGATGCCAATAGAAAGCACAACAGCATACTACAAGAGCATGATGACGGTTCTCAAGCTATAGCATGCCGAGAGGCTCCAGAACCAAATCAATTGCCGTGACAATGAGGTCTGGGACAAACCACGTTCGCAAGTAGCGCATGATGATCTTTCGATTATCTTGTATCAAAGTTACCTTCCTCAGTTGGTCTGCCGGAATCTTGGTGTGACTTTTCAGTGGCGACATAATCCTCAAAGGCACGTTTCAAGCTGAAATAGCTGGACTTACAACACCCAAGGCTCTCCAGGTAGCCGGTGAAGAAGGAACGGATGATGTCCGCAAGCCAGTAGAAAACTGCAACGCGGGCATTCACCTCGAGGTAGGGGTAGGTTGAGTAGAGCTCGTCGTTCACAAATTGCAATGGCAAAATGATGGAATCCAAGATCAGGAAAATGATGCCAACAAAGTCCCAAAAATTCCGGAAGTGTCCAAATGGATTCAAGACGTAGAACGTTGACTCTTGCACCACAGCACTGGATCTGAAGATGGCATTCGTGGTTCCACGACGCTGGCGGTTCTTGCTCTTTGTGGTCCAACAACTGCGAGGCAAAAAGCAGCCTTCATCCAGGTGTTTCTGCCCATGGAATCCATGTTGAAAAGTCACCAACAGTTTCGGAACCTGATGTGAACAAAACACACACTTATAGACTTATAGAAGTATATATACACATATATCATAGCTTCTAATAGCTTCTTTCAAACAGCTTCTTGTTACTACTAGTAAGACACTTGTT